AAAAAAACTTACTAAGTTAGAATATAAGTTAGTTTCTGAAACTGTCCAAATTTCTAACATAGTTAGTTAGAAGTTAGTTTGATGAAAATAGTAACTTAAGTTAGAGTAGAAGTTAGTTTTTTTTTTTTGTTGAAATGTAAATAATAAGTTATCTAACTTAAAGGAGCCAAGTAATGTGATAAACGTGCGACTCCCATGTAGTAATTTAGTGGTTCAAACCCCCAAAATAAAAGAGTTATCTAACTTAAATTTTTGATTAAAACTTAAAAATTATATTAAACCCCTAGTAATTTTATCAAAATGTTCTAATTAGGTAAGTTATAATTTAAATTAATTGGTATATCAATTATCAGTTATTAGAACATAAAGGGCGAAACAAATAAAAAAAGGTGGGTAAGTTGATGTCACTCTGCTGTACAGTAGGTTACAAGTGGGTCACTGTATAATGGATGCTATTAAATTTGAATTCAATGATATAATATCATTGTATAAGAAAAACGATTCTGAGCGGTGACGGTATGTCAGTCTATGTATAAGACATATTATATACATATCTATGGTATTAAACAAAAAATTGACCTATAATAGGTACCTATAATAAATTCCAAATTAATCATATCACAATATCCATTAGGTACTTATAACGCGTTATACATCAACAAAAACAGTGATACTATCATAGATATATAATAGTACACTTTAGAAGTTTCAAGTACCCACGAATAATATTATTAAATCACAACAAAATAACTAAAATAGTTATTCTAGGTTTTTTAATATGTAATTTCGTCCCAAATTTGAACTTAAAATGTCTGTAAAAAATAAATGTGCTCATATATTTTTTAAATTTTTTGGTTACAGCATGAACTATTTATGAGAATCTTTTTTTTAAATTTTCAATCCTTAGCTATGAAAACTGAACATTTTATAATTTATTAATTACGATGATTGATAATTTTCGAGATTTTGATAAATTTTGTCAAAATGCGATCTTTAAATGCTTATAAAAAAAAATTGTGCTTATGTATTTTTAATATTTTTCAATTGCTATTGTAACATAATATCAGGAGCCTTGTATTAATTTTTTACACTTTTTGGCCCAACAGATAAAACTTTATTGATATTTATAGAAAAAAAAAACTAAAAATATTGAAAACTGAAAATGTCCGTAAACGGCTCAAAAAGAGTCAAAATATTTTCAAAATTGTATGGTGTATAGGAAATGCTAATATAAACATTCAGAGAAAATTTTCATGTATCTACAGTTATTCGTTTTTGAATTACAACAAAATAAGGAAATCGCCACATGAGAAATCGGGTGAATAACCAATGTTGTAAAAATTTGAATTTCAAACGCTCATAAAAATTTAATTTGAGTTTCTTATAGAATTTTTTTTTTGATAAATGTAGGAAATCTTATAAGGAATCTTGTATTACATTTTGATATCTTAGATTTAAAAAGAAAAATTTTTATGAATTTCTAACTCGAAATAATTTGCAAATTTTCGGGATTTTTCCATATTTTGTCATTTTTTGAACTTTAAATGCTTAAAAAAAAAAACTGTGACTAACGATTTTTAATATTTTTCATCTGTCTTTGAAACAATATACTAGGAGCCTTGTATTAAATTTTCAAGTATTTTTACTCAACAAATAAATTTTTATTGATATTCATAAAAAAAAAAACTAATAAAATTTGAAACTGAAAATGTCCCTAAACAGTTCAAAATAAATCGAAATATTTTGAAAATGTTATCGTGTATAGTAAATGAAAATATAAACAACCAGTGAAAATTTCATGTATCTACGGTCATTTGTTTTAAAGTTACACCAAAAACCAAAATCGATTTTCTCGAAAACAGATTTTGCGTAAAAATTTCCGTTTTTCCTTAATTTTTCTTTTGTTTTTCCCGGCGCTTTTGAAAAGTACTGGGAAATTTAAATTTTGACCTCCCCAATGCACCAACGATATTCACTTTCCAATCGAACAAGATACTGAAGTTGAAAATCGAAGCATTATTTCTACTACTTATCGTGTACACAGTCACAAAAATTAAAAATTAAAAAAAAACACACATCATTGTAAAATCAATACATTCATCGTTCCACTCAGAATTTAAAAATCAGATTGTGAATATTGTAATAAAACTGTTGTACATAAATTTAAAAAAAAGCATACAAGAAAATTTATGTCTCAAACTTTATCAGTTTTGTGACTTAAATTTGGTCTACGAAAAATGTGTTTCTTTGATAATAGTTTGAAACATTAATTTCTGCTCAATGTTCAGAAATATCAAAAAATCTGATAAAATATTTCTGATTTGAAATGTAACAACATAAAATATTATGGAAACATAAAAGATATCTAATCAAAACTCAGGAAGTTTTATGAAATTCAATAAAAAAATGTCACAGTGTTCCAAGTTTAGATCATATGCGATCTAAGCCCTATAAGCTTCCAAGTCACCACTGTGCAATAGTCAAGGTTTACGGTATTACATCATATCACGATTCACGGTTTAAGGTATAATATCTTAAGCAGAATTTTAGTTCGATTAGGGTTTTATACCTGAGTAAATAATTTACATTATTTCTTTTTAAACAGTTTTTATATAAAAAATTAATTAGTCTTACAGTTTGTTTAACCGGGTCATCCATAGGGCCTCTTCGGGCCAAACGAGGTAATAACCGATAGACGATGATTCTCCATCGATTATGGCAGACGTTCAGCAATGTTCTAAATCAACCAAAAAAAAAAAAAAAACTAAAACAATGATTATTGACGTCTTTGTCATATATTCAACAAATTATTTTATATCTATTAAAAATGACCAACAATTCATCTGCCGATCTGCGTGTATCAAAATTGTGGTGAATAAGATGGCTTTGTAGAAAAAAGAAATTTCAGGGGGGCCATAACAATAGAACCACTAATCTTAAACCAGTGGTCACCAAATGACGGTTTTAAAAAAAATATTTTAATGAAAACCAATTTTATCCGGCCCGCAGATAATAAAAAAAAAGTTAAAATCGACAAAATGTACTTAGGTATTTGTTTGATTTGTCACCAGGGCCGTCCCGAAGGGGGGTTTTAGGGGGTGTCCCACCCCCCTGAGCGTATATTATGTATATGTCAGTTGGCACATTGATACCTACATTAAGTATTTGAGTTGGGCAGTTGGCACTCGGCAAATTATAATTTTTTTGTACAGTTTTTTAATAATTTTGTATATACTACTAAGTCCAAATATATCATAATAATATATTGTAATTTATAATAATATGAAGGTACTATAAGTTAATTTTCCGATTGCCAACTGTCCAACACAGTTAAAACTATTATAATATTTTAGACTTTACCTATCAATGTATCATATATAATATTATTACAGTATACAAATTTGCCTATACATATTCGAATAATCACAGAATATATGAAATTTCATAATATATTATATTCTGTCGTATAATCATTGAATTATTTTTAATAAAGCTGTAATGATATCTGATAAGGAATTGTGCGCTGATTTTAAAAACCATCATCGTAAAAGATTAGCTCCTAAACGATATGATTGTAATGCCACAACCCAAGCTGAATTCACAATGCATCTATTTTATAGAAAAGAATTTAAAATGGTTCTAGATACCCTATTAAAACTAACGAATGATAATTTAAAATCATGTATTTCTTCTATTCAACCATTATTTACATTATTTACTCAACCATTTAATAAAAGCAATATTTCATTTCTTTGTTCCCACCAAGCAGTGTAGGTGCTTACCTTCTAGATTATGATTAGGTTCAAACAGAATTAGAAATATTATTTAGTATGTTACAAGAAGATAGAACATTACCATTTAATTCTTTAATGGAAAAAGCAGAAGAAGTAAAGCATATTTTACCATGTGCTAATCAGATATGTCGTTTAGCATTGACTTCTCTTGTAACAGTCGCATCAAACGAAAGATCTTTTAGTAAACTAAAATTGATTAAAACACATCTTAATTCTTAGGTCAACAATTTCTGATGAGAGATTAAACTCTTTAATTGTATTGGGAGTAGAAAAAGATATTGTTGACCTATTGGATATAAATAAAATAGCACATCAATGGTCAATTTTAAAAACCGACGTATATAAATTTAGTGTTAAGTTTATTATAATATATTGTTGTTGATATACATAATAAAATATTTAATATTGTGCAACATTTGTCTACTGACTACTATGCATGTAGTCTGCAGGTAGGAGGTAATTGTCGAGCGAAGCGAGAAAATTTTTTTTTTGAGTTGGCAAATTATGAATCAAACCAACCCCCCCATGATTTGTCTTTCGGGACGGCCCTGTTTGTCACCCGACAGTAGCTGTTTTTAAAGTTTTCAATATATTAAACGTTATTATAAACACCAAATTTCATGTAGGTAGGTAGTTAGTTGAGAGCAAGACTCGCCTTTTTTCTCATTAATTTTAACCCAATTTGCTATTTACATTATAATTATTATAAATTTGTATTGTATTTTATTTTAATTAATTTAATCGGGTAATTATTATTTTACTACCACTAGGCCACTATGTTACTTTTGCATTAAAATAATAGTAATATGTTAACTGTAGATAATGGATAATAGATTTTGCTTTGATGGCCCCCGAAAATTTTCAAAATTCCCAAGGTGCCATAATTTCCCGATTTTGATAACAATTGATAACAGCAAACCTGATAAGAAAATAAATAATAATAATATTATCATTATGGAATATTATGGATATTATCGTAAAAATATGTAAATTACAATTCGTAATATCGTTGTTTGTTTTAGTTTTCGTGCGGTGAATGGCGATCATCTCTGACTGTGACTGACTCCGACCTGTGTCCACGACTGTCCGGCGATATTATTTAAATAATATATAAAGTACTTATGATTTTCTTGTTTCGTATCGGTATTCGGTAAATCGGTTTTACCGGAGTCTTTGATTGTTCATGCTGTACGCCTGCTGCAGAAAATGGAACTCCAAGACACGTTTTACAGTAAATCCGAATACGTAGAAACGGTAATATAGCTTAGAGGGACTGTTGCGGATGTGTAACCGTGATATTGTATGATATTAATATAATAATATTTAATACGTAATTTTTACAGACGACTGGTAATAAAGTGAGTCGACAAGCTCAAATTTATGGCTCACAAAATATTATACTGAACGGCAAAGTCATACTGCAGTCGGGTGTGATGATACGAGGTGACCTGGCTAGCGTTAAAATGGGCCGCTACTGTTTTGTCGGCAAAGGTTCAGTTGTGAGGCCACCGTGCAAAAAATTCAGTGGAGGGTAATGTTACAGAGTATACCTATAGTAATTTTTATTACCTCAACAATTAACTGACCCCAATCGAAAGGTGGAATGGCTAGAGTTCCATATTGATCTGATCATAGACATAATATAATATATTATTATGTCTATGGATCATTTTAGTACACTAAAATTTTGTTAAATTGACGTCTTAAAAGATTCCTATTTTTTTTTTATATATAATATATTTGATAATACTTTGTTTACAATCCATAGGTCGTAATAGCGTACTGAGTAATTGTGATATAAATTAATGGTATGGATGGCTTGTTGGGCACGAACGGTGAAGCTGTTCATAAACAGCAACTCCCAAGAGAGAAACAACTTTTATTAAATAAAGCTGCTCTATGTGAGTTGCCAATAGACACAGCATACTTAATCAATACATAAATACTTAAGAACAAAGTGAAATATACAGTATTTGTTAACAATATATAGTGGTACATAATAGTAAGAGCTTATGGCTATCTTTAAATTTAACAATAAACTATTTAAATAAAATTCATATTATATAGTAAAACCGAGAGAGATATTATAGATATTTTTTTTTAATGGATTGATCCATTAAAACTAGGATGATCTCTTCCGTGTGTTAATAACTTAGTTTAATTTGTTATTTGATAACGAACAGTTTGGTTCAATATAAGTTGATATTTTTTAGTAATATTTTGTCTTAAACTATGGTCAAAAGTTAGATGAGTGAGCTTAAGAGTTTTAAATTCAATAAGGAAGGAGGTCATTTGGGATGCTAGGTTTTTGTTATGTTTGTTCTAGTATTCATTGTTATGGTCTGATTTTTGTTTGATTTTGTAGCCTGGGAATAAGTGTGGATATTATCTGATATTATTTGAATAAAAAGTGACTAAGTATTTGTATTAAAATTTTAATTTTCTTAAATATATTATTTTTGCTAGGTGGTTGTTGTTTTTCGAATTACTGAAGATTTTTGAAAATTTGACATCCACAGTATTTGGTGAAAGTGATTACCATTGCATAGTACACATTTTTCTAGATGATCAAGACTTATATATATAGGTGTCAGTTTGGTGGTTTTCGTCTAGGGTGGTTGTTGTAGTATGGCCATAGTTTAGGGAGTAACATTGATATGCATGTTTGTTGAGGCGCTCCAATTTTTTTTTTTTTTGGCATAGCTCAAGTTTATGCGAGACTATATGTTTGTTGTTTACCACTGGTACTGGTTCTAAATCAACAAAAAATAGAGATAGTAGTGTTTTGGTTGTTCTGTGATGAGTGTTCATAAGGATAATGTTTCTTGTCATAAAAGCTTTTTGTTCAAATTCCTCTTTAATAAAATATAGTTACTTAGTGAGGTGTAAATTTTGATACCAAGAAGTTCCTAATAAAAATATTTTTATTAAAATTTAGTGACAAATTTATGTAAATATTAGAAATACCTATTTATATTTGATTTTGATTTTTTTAATTGTGCAAGTAAATAAATAAATTTAATAAAAAATAGTATTTTCAGAGACTATAACTTACAATAAAATCATTATTAAATTTCAGAACTGTACTCGGCAGCCAATTTATATGCATGTGCTTGACATAACTACATGTCAGGTATACAAATGTGAAATAGAGTATAGAACTATAGATCCAACAACTGTGATAAATTACTTACTATTTATTTAATATTGTTGACATAAGTCTTCATTACCGTGATTATAATACAATTAAAATTAAAATATTACCCAATTTGGTTCAATTAAATGTTTTTATTTCTATTATTCAGATCTAGCCAATACTGATTGGTTTAATAAGTTTTATATAATTTTATGTATAAGTTTAATTTAATACTAAGTGGTTTTCTCCATTTATTTTAAAAAATAATAATATTTAGGTAGTATATCACTTTATTTAGTCGACTCCTAGTATAATTTTATAGTTGCCGTGATAATTATAGAAGGTATAAAAATAATTAGTAAACATTTACAATTTTACTGCCTTAACATTTCATTATACATAAAGCTTTTAACTTATGCTTAGATTAAAGATGTCATATTTTCATATTTAATACTGTGCATTATTATTTATTGCCACTGAATGTAAAAAAAGTTATATCTATGCCACACTACTTTTTGTGTTATACATTGAGTTGACAGTAAATTAAGCCAGATAAAGTATAAAGTAAAACAAACAATTATCAGCCAAAATATACCCTGTCCATTCCTAATTATAACATAGTCGTTAATTGTGGTAATATCATTCTTACTTCAATAACTAACCTGTTTCACATACACTAAATGTCTTTAAATAGTATATTTACAAACAGTGGCGTAGCCAGGATTTTTTTTCAAAAATTTACCTTATCATAATGTATGCGTATTAACACATTAAATTATTTATGTTATAGATTTACATATTTTGCTCTTCAAATTGGAGATCACGTACATATTGGTGAACAAAGTGTTATTCAAGCAGCCATCATTGGATCTTATGTACATATTGGAAAAAATGTTGTTATTGTAAGTGTTCAAATTTATAATATATTATATTACATCACTGTATTATTATTTGTTACTAATTTTATCATCATTTTTTTTTCAAAGGGTAAAAGATGTATACTCAAAGACTGCTGTATGATTGGAGACAACACAGTTCTTGCACCTGATACTGTAGTTCCTTCATTTACCCATTATTCTGGTTCTCCGGGCATGCAAATCGGTCAATTACCAGTTTGTACTCAAGATCTATCAACTGATTATACCAAATCATTTTATGATCACTTTGTTCCGTCTATTGATAATTTATAGGTTTAAAGAAATTAAAGTTTTTAACACTTTTTTTAATTTAAAATTTATTGTATAAAATAATATATGTTTTGATAATATATAATAATTATCTAATTTTGGCATGCTTTACAAGTCTGTTTTTTCTGATCTTTTTCAATTTCTACAAACACCTTAGCTGGTAACATGTGTTCCAATAACATGTTGTTCTCAGCAGGTAAGCCCACACATGCTCTGAGTATGTTTTCGATACACGCTTTCTGGCGGAAGAGAGAGTTTACTACTGGAGCTCCTATAACAGAATAAATAATTATTTATCTCATAGTTAAATAGTTTATCAAATATTTACCTTTTGGTACAACAGGGGCTTTAAGTAGGTATGACATAGCAGTGAAGACTGGATGCAAAGGTGTGTAATCTGATTTGTCCGACCCAATTTCAATTCTGTTGAATAAATCCGCAAGTATAAGTAAGTCCAATATAAGAGGAGATGCCAATAATGAATCTTCGCATGTGTTATGTATGACCATTGTATTTATTCCATTCATGAATATTTCTGATGTGTACTCATCCAGTGCCCTTTTGGAATCTTTGACGTATGGCACATACTTTATAACTACACAGTGGTCAGGTGTCTCATTTGGTTTATAAAGAATGCTATTCGATTTCACTATGTCATCGACTACATTGCTTTTAGAAATCTCTTTTGAACGGAATTGTTGAGGTGCTGACAAATTATAACCGTCATTGTTTCCCAAATGATTATAGCTCACAATGGATACTGGTTTGATGCCAGCAGCTACTAGAAAATCAACTAGTACTGACTTCAGTTTTGTTTGTCCTGATTTGAAATCATCACCAGCAATGTGTACACACCATTTCTCAGCTAGTTCTATTACACCTTTGACAAAAGTGTTCGATGGTGATCCATTTATATAAGTACACTGAAATTATAAAAAAAAAAGTAGTTTGTTTGTAACTTGTAGAAAAAAAAAATCTTACTCCTTCTAGAATGGAAGCAACGGCAAATAAAGTAGATGGCGATATTTCTGATTCGTTTTTGCAAATTGATCTTAAAAGATTGTCTGATGTATCATTAAGTCCTTCAATCTCTTCACTAAAACGTTCTGTATTGGCAGTCCATATTACAATCACCTGGTCCAGTTCTTTGAATTTCTTAAAATCTCTAATATCTGTCCTGATTTGATCTAATGCTTCTGATTTTTTTTCCATCTCAATAACATTATCGGCGCGACTTGTCTGATTGGCTGCTATGAATTCTGGTATATAAATTGATGGTCTTGGAATAATTTCAGACATTTTTTTCATCAATTTTTTTTGTAAATCAATATCTAATACCTAAATTACAAAAAATAATTTTTAAATCATCAAATTTTAAACACAATTAATAACTTTATAATATTACTTCTGATCTTTTCATAGCTTGACCTAAGTCCAAGGATGAAATGTCCCAACCGTCAATCTCTATGTCGTTGGGGTCAATCATGGGTACTAAGTTTTTTAATGGTACGTAAACATCTTGGCCAATTGAATCCATGCCAACACGTATAGTTGATGATTGTGTTATTGAACCAAACCAATTTGAAGACTTGACACCTGACTTTGTTTCCCATGTTAAACCATATTTATTTGCAATAAGGCCCGCCACTAAGGTAGAACCATTGTTGCCTCCTATTCCAACCAACATTAATCCTGTTTTTGGCACCACTCTCTTTGTTCGAATCTTGAGTTTGGTAATGGTCGGCTTAATCTAAACAACAAAATAATTTACCTATATAAGTTAATTAATTACTACACATTTAAAACAAAATACACAACTATTGTCATATTATGCAGTCATCATTTATAACTAGGGGTGATCTTATAATAGGTACTTTGAAAAAGTATAAAAACAATAAGCACTATCTAAGTATTAGCATTTTCTATACACTGTAATTTTCAAAATATGTTGACTCTTATTGAGCTATTTATAGACATTTGACATTTTCCATTATTAGTTTCTTTCGGGGTTTCTTTTTTCTATAAATTTTGATAAAAAATTTCCCTTAGTCAAAACTCAAAACCCTTGAAAATTGAATGCAAGATTCCTCATAAATTGTTAATACTGGAATTTAATAAAAAATTTCAGTGTAAACCTACAGTATTTTTCATAAGTGTTTTAAGTTAAAAATTCATAAAAGGTTTGAAAATATAATACAAGGTTCCTTATACGTTATATGATAGGTAGGTATATGATAAATAGAATTTTTAAAAAGAATGAGTGCACATCCATAAATATTTTTTATGAGCTCCTTAAGTTAAAATAGCTATAAACTTGGATATTCACGGGTAAAATCATGATTTTAGTTTTTTTAATGTAATTCAAAGAGTACAACAAGTCACTTTACGTACCTATAGGTACTTAAGTATTTTGGTTTTCCCGATTATTATTTTAAGTAAAGGGAATTATTTACTTTTGACTCCCCCTTTTACTCCCCTTGCACTCAAAGTACCAATTAGATATAATTTGCTACCATAAATCACTCTCAAAGTTGAAGATTGAACTATTTTTATTGCTTCTTACGGTGACATCAGACAAAAAACAAACATTCACATACGTCATTATAAAACCATCGCTCTGCTCAAAACCTAAAAACTACAGAGTACCTATTATCAGACAAGTAGATAGGTAGGTACTTAGCCAAGTATACTCGATAGCCGTACCTATATAGCTGGTAAGTATAACTAGTCAATATAAACTTAATACTTGTTCGTATTAATATATTATAATATTATTTAGAGTTTAGACATAATATATAATATATAAATGCGTACCTACTTATCTACCATCTATATCATAATATAAGTAGTAAGTACCTAGTATAGGTACCTACATACAAAATTACTTATTATGGTACCTATTATATTATTATTACAATACACCTATTGTGTATAGCAATCATATATAGGTAGGTAAATATTATAACTATTATATAATTGTATAGGTTAGAAATGTCAAATGTGGAACTGCAGACTGTAGCATACAGCGGGATTTTTCACGGGGTAGGTATAAAGATTTTAAAAGATCTATTGTATCATATTGTGTACGTATTGTACATGTATTGTGTACATCGTATTGTGTACGAATTTTGGTCATCGGGGGGTAGGATATGACCCCAACATCACCCCTTCACAGTTTACCGTAGATACACCACTGGGCACTGGCTGGAGGTACTAGTAACACACACTAACTAGGTAGTCTTATTTAAAAGTGTATATAATGAGTTCACCATGATTAATGTTCAATTAGGTAATTTAACAACCACGGTTTAAGAAATTAATTTCAAATTTCATAATATCTAATAATTAAATACGAGATTAAATAGGCATGTTTGTGTTTCTTTAATCATTCTAATAGCTTAATAAGCATGTGGTTATTAAGAATAAATGTCTTAAATTTTAAATCTGTAAAAAAATAATTGCTTTTGATACCTAATTTGTTTATAAAATATAAAGCCAGAACATTTATATGTAATTAAATATATTGAGTCGATCGAGATTATTATTGTCTTTGTAGCTTATAAAGAACCTATTAATTATTAATTGATTATATTTGTAAAAATATAATGATAAAAAAAACCTAGAATATTATATTCCTATTATTAGGATGACAACGAACTTGCATCTTAATCTTACTAAAACCTATACGGTTTAAATGTTGGTATAGGTACCTATTCGTATTTTAGCACCGCTAATTATTTATAGGTAGGTTCAAGGTTGTAACTTGTAGGTACATAGTACAGAGTCGGACTGGGTACTAAGGGCCCCACCGGCAGTTTACTTATAGAGAGGGCCTCAACAGTCAACAATAGTGATAAATAATAACTCTCTTGTAAATTTGATAAATTTTTTTCACAAAAAATGATCATAAATAAACTTTATAATTTACAATTGTTACTCAAAACACCATATTTATCTTTATTTACTGTTTTCTTTAGTTAAATTTATTTACAATTTATTTTATAGTATATTTTAGAGATCGATTATAATAAATTATCAAAATTTTTGGTAACTACCAGCTATTTTGATAATTGTTAAAAATGTTATTTATTAATTTAAGACAAGGAGGAAAATGTAGAAGGCTTGTATGTACCTATAGAATCAAACACATTGTGTTAATTGTGAAGACACAATATAAACAATTAATATTGAAATAACAATATCATTTTTTAATAGAATTTTTATATTTTTATAAATCAAGGAAATATACCTATCATTGTGTACCTACTGATTGAAGTATTCCTCAAAGCAATAAGAATAGGTTTTCAGTTCTAAAAATAAATACCTCTAAAATTCCAATATTGATCAATCATATATATTATTATTTTTAATTGGCATCGATGAGACGATAACAGAAACGTTGACTGTTGAGACGTCACAAACATGTTTTGTCCGTCTAAACTACACTGTTTTTTTATGTTTGATTATTATTAAACAAATATAATACATTATATAAATGTACAGTTCATATATTTTATACTTATGATTTTTTCCGTTCATTAGATGGGGCCCCATATAGTCATACACACAAGGGGGCCTTACTGGCTATGGCTAGTCGGTTATATTGGCCAGTCCGACCCTGACATAGTAAGTACCTACTTAGTAACGCAGTACCTATCAGTTCCGACGTTAGGTATGCATTAGGTATACAGCTTATACAACTTGTATAACAGCCCTGTTATGAATTATTTATTGATTTTGAGTGGAGATTTCAACATAAACTTTGCAGATGCTAAAAATCAACTATTAAATAAGTTTTTAAATAATAAATTTGGTGTAACGATGTCAAATGATCGCAATCTTAGCACAACGAAATAGTACCTACTATTGATATTGATATGGATATTGATATTGATATTGATATTGATATGGTATTTATTAGACTTTTAAATAGGTTCGAATCAAAATTGTTGGTTTCTTACTTCAGCTACCATAAACCTATCGTATCATTTTTAGAGATTGGCGAAGATGTTTCTGGTAATGATGATGGTGAAAGAGTCGTTGAAATTATGGATGGAAGTTGATTTTTCAGAGAGATAAACTTTTTAAAGTAAAATAATTGTACCTAATAGTTCTGAAGTGTTAAATTTTTAATGTAATATAAATGGTTAGGTATGTTTGTGTAAGATAGCGAAATAAATTAATATTGTATTTTACCACATACATAATAGTACTTTTATGTTGATAATTGAAGCAATTCGTGCAAAATTATACCCTAACCATTCCAAAATATCAAAAATGCACAACGTTAATATTCAAGTTTTCACTTCTACCGGCACTCCCGGAGTGCAACCCCCATCAGGTTTTTTATTTTATTGGTTTTATTGCCTGTTTTTAAATCTTTCTGAATATTAAAATATGTATGACCTATCTTGCGAGTACAAAGTAATACAAATTAATTAATACCTAAAATATATAGAGTCAAAACGGCATAACAATAAATTAACTGAATTAACATTTAATTAAAATAAAAATTATTATTTTATTATCTACTAAGCATAAAAAATACATGCATTTCATACATACATTAGGTGTATAAAATATAATATACATATTACAAATATCTAGGGAGGTATGTATGTATATTGTATATCTATATATTACTTGTACATATATATTTACTAACTAATAAATATAGGGAAACGTGTTGTATCATTTAAAAGCATATTTAGAGATGCGGTAAAAATTATAATATAATGACCTTAAATATCGTGAAATATATTTGTGTTTAAAATATACAATAAAAATAAAAGTATCTACAAAAATTGATTTAGTGACTAATGAGTAATGATGTTTGAATAATAACTACACTAAAAAATGGATACTGAACATATATTTGTGCAGGTGACTGGTGACAAAAAAAAATCATACCTAGATAAGAATTCTACTGAAATTATGATATAGGATATAATTTATACGACGAAAGATAAAAAAACGTTATAGACTAGATAAACAATAGATAATAGAAATTAAATTAATTGGACCATAAATTCTACAACAAATTATAAATATGTCAAAAAATACAAATTTTTAATTATTTCTGTTTGAAGCCTTCAAAATGTATGTATATTATACTATATTATATTATATTATATTATACTATATTATATTATACCTACGTGTAAAACACAATATAAATTTTATTTTATTTTATTCCGTCATAAATCATGATATTGTTATATAGGTAGTCATGTAGATATGTATTTTAAAATAATTTAGGAATATCCAAATACGTTCTGACTCTTTCCCTTATAGATTCTAGCTATAAGCACACTATAATACTTTAATTACCTACGTATTAACTATTAATTAAGTAAATTGTATCTGTTTTACATCTGTTCTTTCCCATCAAGTGCTGCTCACCTGCACTATTTCAGTCTTTCGTTCTGTTATTTTAAGTTTTCTCCTCTCAAAAATACATTATTCACCTCTCTCCATATTTTTTTCGTGGATTACATATTTTATATTATAATGAATCATTTTTCAAAGTGGTAAATTTAGATTCATCTATTACAAAAATACATAAACAAGTTATTTGTACCTATTATAACTAATAACTTGTAAGCCTTAACCTATTAGTGATTCTATTAATTAATAATTATTGATAACTATAAATTGTAAATATTTAATAAAAACAAATTATTGTTAATCGTTAAATACTTAAATGATAATATAATTTTCATGTAATTTGTAGATATTTATTATAAATTATAACATATAATATCTCTCATTAGGTATTATTAAAATTTAAAACAACTATAATAGATTGGTTATAAATCTCTTAATAATCAATGTTAATTTATTAAAGCTGTCTATTCATCTGAATAATAATTTATTCCTTTTAACCGAATTCGATTTTTATCACATTAATATTTAGTTATTATGAAGTATGAACTAAATTAAAAAAAATGTTTTATGTTAACAATTACGCAATAATACATATTTTGTTGTTTTAATTTTTAGCAGCTTATACTAATATTTAGGAAGTACAAGAACTCTAAGAAGTGTAAAGTAATATAACTTATACATGTATTATTATACACGTATTATTCAATATTCATGCTCTACGGTTTGTACTTTGTAGTAAATAGTAAAATATACTAAATAATTATACAACTCTCGACAGCACTACTATGAATAGCAGACGGCTATTAAACTTAAAAAATATCGCAGTTTTCTTGCCGGTCCATAAATATAAATAATAAACGAGATAATAAAGTATTTAGATCTAATATGAGTGGGTTAGTGGTATCATATTATTTATTGAAAATGTTCTAAAATAAAATCAATATGTCATCAGTCAGCAAGGCTACTGAACGTACACAATAAATGTAATATAATACATCGAAAATTAGTGTAAGTGTATAATATCTTAAATTATAAATAGGTATTAGGTTACTAAGTACACTATTATACATTTATATTTTATACCCGTCAGACAATGGCCATTACACAGTAAGTAATCCAATGTTTCACTTTACCTATAGTAATAATTACAAGCAGTAAATCGCATTTTCGGAAAGACTAAAAGGTTAACCTACATTTTATTTTAATACTGTTGGGGTACATATTTTAGGACTCTGATTATTTAATACGAAATAATAAAAAATTCTTAGGTATAAGACAAAAAACTGAAAAATATACCTCAGCTACCCGACTCAAGCGTACCTACATATATGAATACTTAATTAGGTATGTGACTATACCTAATGAGTAATTATTCTTTACTAATAAGTAGGTAATAACTAAAAATTAATTTAACATTATTCCCAAAATCTGTACAAGGTTTTCAATTTAAATATTAACTGTAGGTAAATCATATTGGTTTAACATTGTCGAATTAATATAATAATAATTTTATTTTGCAAATTAAATCATAAATTATAAAAATAACGGCCGGCAGTTCTATTCATCGTAAATCATGGATTAACATTGTCAAATTAATATAATGATAATTTTATTCTGCAAATTAAATCATAAATTATAAAAATAACGACCGACGGTTCTATTCTCCTCTATATATCTCTAATATACCCAGGGGCGCAAATATGGGGGCTACCTCCCCCCAAAAATCACTCCAAGACCACTCAAAAATAAGAATATAATATATATTATTGTACCTACGTAATATTATAAAAAAAATATCTTGAGACTTGAGCCCCCCCTTTTTTTTTTTCTATTTGCGTCACTGAATATACCCAAGTTAACTACGAATGTGAATCGTATATTATATTGGTGCAAGTGTGAAATCGTTGTTTTAATTTTTATTGTATTGTGTCATTTCCATGATAACTAGGTAACCATGTAAAAAAAAAGAAATATTATTAAAATTTGACAAAAAAAAAAATGTAAGGGAATGAAAAACGTAACAGGGAACTTTAGTAGGTATAGCCAGGTAGGTACCTATTCTTTGGCATGGCCATCGGAACTTTATGACATGTATTTTGGGTGGACTATAAAAATTTGTTCAAAAATAATAATAATATTATATATCGTAGGAGTAAGTTTTACCACAATCGTGTCTTTTTCGGTTAAGGCGTAGTTGATGGGATAATCGATGGTCGATTCGATGCTCTCTTTGGTGTATTGGACGTTCGGGCTATCCACCTGGACGACGCCGCTGGTATTATTCTTGTTGTGAGCCGCCATCGTTACTCGGGTTCTCGGTCAACGGTTCTCGTACGGGATATTGCAAAATAATATTATGTTCAAGAATAATAATTCGTGGGGTCTTCTCGGGGGTGTGTATATAGGTGCGTAAAATAGCTACGAGGATTTTGACGGGCGTCAAAAGAAAAAAAAAACTAATAAAATTTAATATTATATTATTATTATGTGAGGAGGAATTTATTTTATTTCGTCGAGAGAAATGTTTCGCGATCAGTTGACTGGTAAAAGACCGGCGTCGGAATGAGCTGGGATTCTGCGAGCGTATAGCAACGGCGTTGACGACAGAGAACAATATAAATAATAACCGTAGTAATAAACCATCGATGCACCACTACTACAACAGCGGTTGTTGTTACGGTGGTTACGAGTGGCGGCGCGGGCGAGGCGACAAAAAAGCGTGTACGACGCGTGCGCGAAAGCAAAGCACGAGCGTAGACCGTCAGAAAGTTTGTCTCCGCCGGAATGTTATAACATATATATTATACAGGGTGTGTCTAGGCCATCGTGCCGACCACCATTTCCCCCAAAAATATGAGCTCATTCGAATAAAATGTTTAATTTTGTTGACATTTTTAAGTATGAAAGATGCCTGCTTTAAGTCTTGGAGACCGTAGTGTTTTCGATCACGGAGGTAAGACATATTTTTTTACTGAATACTTGTTGTCAAGTTTTTGATCCATACATAATGGTACCTATAATGCCCCGCTATAAGATCATTGACATTGTAACGAGTAGTTTCTAAGCTATTATACTCATTAAGCTTTATGTACCTACTAAAAAGGTCATATGTGAATATTTAAAAAAAATAGTAAGTTTTGTATGATCACAATAGGCACTCTTTTTGCGGTTATTCAAATCGGTAATGACAATAGTTCATAACCAATCTAAATAGGTGTTTGAAAATAAGGTCTTTATGTAGGACCCCAATATTAAAAACAGGAATTTAAATACAATTAAACAATTCAAGGATACAAAGGGGTGAGAATGTGAGACGTTTGTGAATCACACTGTATTTTGTAATAAATTATCGATTCGATTGTCCAGGAGACTCTCGCGCACACTACAAGTGGACAGCGATTAAAAATCGATTGGCGTTATCGTGCTGTTGAATACAGATAAAAATATAAAATGTACCTAATAATATAATAATCTATTTATTAATTATTTTAATGGTCGTTTAATTTTGTTTTTTTGTCAGAAAATCACGTACTAACGCACTATGTTTAAAAATTAAATTATAATAAATGATATCAGAGCATTTTTTTGAAACTTGAGTTGTATTATTTAATCCCTACACTTGCATAGTTGTATTTAGTATGATTAATTAATGCATTAGAAATATTCTTGTAAATACAATTTAGCGATTAATTGTTCAATTATTATATTATAATATGTTTGATACAGTTTATACATTTTATCAGTATTAATTACAAATTACAATCGCGACTATGTGACAAACAGATATTGTCTATATCTGTGGTGACAAATTACTATTTTTGTCATCAATACATTATGTTATTATCCAAAAGCATTTTAAAATAATTAAATTACCAAATTACGATAATCTTCATTAAAAAATAAAAATCAATAATCGTGAACTATTGTTTGAACTTTTATTGCTTTATTAAGCAGCATAAAAAATGAGTAGTTGGTATATAAATAAAATACAGAAAGTTCATTAGGTATTCGCACTTATAATAATTACCTACATCAATATTTTAATAAGAATATTTTACCTAATGGGAAAATATAATTAAAAACATGGATCCTTGCATATATATGCATGGATTAAGCATGCTTAAAAAATTGAAGCGTAAAAAATATCTTATCGTTATATAAGTTAAAATTGTAATAATTTTTAAATTAAGTATGTGGTGTATAAAATAATGTACTATATCTTAATATGTGCACTTACCACAAACTGTCATTACACAATATTCTTGTAATTGGAAATTTTTTTTTCCGTAAATAAAAATTATTATTATTATTATATTTCACTAGAACAATCCTGGGGGCAATGGGTAGTCAAAAGAAAAACGAAAACCATTTAATATTAATATTATTTAGGTACTAATAAATAGTAATCCACTATATTAATTGCAATTAAAAATAAGTATACCTAACAATAAAAGTAATATATAAGTTAAGAACTTAAGATATTATAGCTAGGTATATTTATATAAATATATAGGTACATTAATATAATATGTTGTTACTATATTGATTTAAATTTAAAAAAATGTATTCTTAAATGTTAAACATTCGGAAATATACGGGTATAAAGAAATAAGAACAAAATTATTATTATTTTTATTAATCAAATTCAATTTATAGTATTTTATACCTACGCTTATAATAGTCAGCATGTAGGTACTATTTAAATAAGGTATAGTCGGGAAGCTCTAAGAGTGCTACTCCTTCGCGCATCCAACTGATTGAGATCCGAGGTATTTCTCCACTCTACCACCTAGTTGCCGCCGTAAATACACGGGAATGCGCGAGAACGGACGAATTTTGGTCTCCGCCCAGAAGTGCTCTTACAAAGGCCCGAATATAGTTCGAATAATGGATAGCTAGGTTCTACTGGTTCTAGAGAATATAACAATTATAAATTGAAACCCAAGATGGCAAGATATAGGAGACTATTATAATTTCTAGTATAAACTAATTTGTTAGGTACATTATATTATATACTATTGTCCATTATAGTTGACATTATAGTTTCTGGATGTTATTAAGTTGGACATTTTGAATATTCGTGACTTGAATATGTTGCAAAATTTATTTAAATTTTTTTCTGTATAATATCTAACTAGGATTACCTATAAAATAATATGAATTGTTATTTTTAACATCTAATATAAAGTACAATATTCCGGAAGAATTAACACATTCGAATCGATAAATAATGCTCCAACTATAATAGCAGATATAGCAGACCTAATTTATGATCAGTCAGAAATTCAGACAATCTTGGTTCAAAAAATAGTTTATCGGAACTGACGGAACTGTTTAAGGGATGTTTAAGAGTGCGGCGAAGCTCTATTAAAAAGTATATTACCTATATAATTACATTTTATGTTAGAACTTATAACACACTCGTCCAAGTGGGTCACCCATAAAATACTAAACAAAAATACCTACATTCCTATTACCTATACATGCAATTTACCTATATGTAGTTTCGTCAATTTTTTTTAGGTAACTATAATAATAAAAAAAAGGAATATCTACAATTGGCTTTGTACCTAATATGTATAATACTATAATGGTTTATGAGGATATCAGATACATCATAACTTCTCAAATTAATAAATTATATCTATTAGATCAATAACAATGTAAGTAATTGGGATATAGCTTTCGATTACAATTGTCACATATATACAAACATTGGCGTTTGTGATAAATCTACAGGTCTACCGTATATCGTGTTATTAGGTACATAGGTATAGGTATTTAGCCATTTAGGTGTGGCACATGTTTGTGACTTTGTAAGTTGCGTGTCATTCCTTTATCGTTTATACACCGAAATTAAAAACTATCATAAATGGGTGTGGTACTTGTATTTCGCAGGGCAAAATTTCAAGGGACTTTAGTGCATTGATGGGCTGCGTACAGTTATAATGTCTCGACAAAGTTGTTCGCCGTTTGATGATGTAAGAGACTAAAAACACGTTAGATAACACTTAGATATTGATATGCTCATGCTTTAGTTAATATATTACAACTTATATAGTTTGCAGTTTGCACACTATTTTATATGATTTTATACTAATAATAATGAGAATATTCGAAGTCTTTCCTTTCTATAATAATTAATAATAAATCTGTATCGAGCTAAGAATATGGTAGGTACCTACCAGGTAGGTATGTAATTAATTACCTAGCTAGTTGACAAAACGTTTTATTTTTTTATGATTAATTGAATAAACTTAGGTTTACCTACTCTTCGGTAAAAATACCAAATCGTTAAAAATTTCATTTTGGTAACTATTAAAAGTTGTTTGGTTCGGAGAGCTGTTTAGTAAACATTGTTTACATGTCGTTTAAAAAACAATTCTACATCATGGGTATCAAATGCTTTTAATAGGGAATGCACCTCGTTGACATATTTTGGAATCTAAGCTATTATATAACTGTATACAATAAATATTAATTATTTTTCTCAGGTAAAATATATAGGTAGGTATACCAACCTATAATATAATAATTGTTAGGATGAGATCATGAGCCTATTCAAAATACCATCCTTTTTGGATTCTGAGTGGAACGATGAATGTATTGATTTTACAATGATGTGTTTTTTTTTTATTTTTGTGTCTGTCATCACCTTTTAGGACTGTAAAACTGTAAAAGTGCTTGAATTTTCTTCAACAGTATCTTTTCTGATAGGAAAGTGAATCTAGTTGCCAGTTGGTACTTTAGCTTTTAATTTGTACAACATTGGATATTCACTCGATTTCTCGTGTAACGATTTCCTTATTTTGTTGTAACTCAAAAACGAATAACTGTAAATACATCAAAATTGCACTGAATGTTTATATTAGCATTTCTTATACACCATACAATTTTGAAAATATTTTGACTTTTTTTGAGCTGTTTACGGACATTTTCAGTTTTCCGTTTTTTTTCTATAAATATCAATTAAGTTTTATCTGTTGGGCCTAAAAGTGTTAACATTTAATACAAGGCTCCTGATATATTGTTACAATATCAGTTGAAAAATATTAAAAAATAAAAATACATAAGCGCAATTTTTTTTTATAAGTATTTAAAGATCGAATTTTGACAAAATATATCAAATAGATACAGGATTGAAAGGATTGAAAATTTAAAACAAGATTCCACGTAAGTAGTTAATTCTGTTGCCAAAAAATCTAAAAAATACATAGACAAAGTTTATTTTCATAGTCATTTTAAGTTCAAATTTGGACGAAATTACATAATAAAAAACCTAGAATAACTATTTTAGTTATTTTGTTGTGATTGTATAATATTATTCGTGGGTACTTGAAACTTCTAAAGACTAAAGTACACTATTATATAGGTAACTATGATAGTATCAGGATTTGATGTTGATGTATAACGCATTATAAGTAGGTACCTAATGGATATTGTGATATGATTAATTTGGAATTTATTATAGTTACCTATTTAAGGTCAATTTTTTTTAATACCATAGATAAGTATGTAATATGTCTTATACCTAGACTGACATAATATACCGTCTCCGCTCAGAATCGTTTTTCTTAAACAATATTATGTCATTGAATTCAAATTTAATACCATCCAAGTGACCCACTTGTAACCTAGTAACCTACTGTACAGCAGAGCACCTTTTTTTGTATTAATATATACATATGTACAGGATATTGCAGTGGCGTGTAACATGGGGTCCAAGTATTGCTCAGGCGACACCTTAAATATGGGTGGGTGGGTATTGATAGAAAAAAATAGGAAATTGTATAGGTCGGTATAACAGTATTATGAGAGGCAGGTCACCTAAAATTATTTGAGGAACACAAATTTTTTTTATGATACACGCCACTGGGATATTGTACGCTTCTACCAAACTTCTCCATCTATATCTTGATCCATTACAATATCCATTTCTGTTGACGTATCGATATCTGAGATGTCCTCTCTCACCCTATCTAACCATGTCTAACGAGGTTTTATCGTTAGGTTTCTGATCAGGACATTTCGTAAGACTTTCATCAGCTCGTCAAACGTGGCTAGCACACTTCAATCTTTTTGTTTTTAGGAACTATCTTATATTTTGTTTATTGTTTTACAACCTTTCTAGATTATTGTTTTTTTCGTGTCTTATAATCTCCATTTTGATTTAGAAGAGATTTGTGAATTTTCAGTAAAACTTTTCTTCCGAAAGTAATCAGTTTATCTTCGCCCCCCCTCCCCCCTGTGCTGTGACTTATACTTATGCAGACTTATGTCTCATATAGTCATATGCATCATGGATACACTACTGAGATGGCAAGTATACAGTAGTATTTCTTTCGACACATTGAATAGTAGCTCATTTTTTACTGTGGCATAGACTAAACTGTAAACCTTTTGCACAGTGTTTGGCCATTTGGACAGTAGCCTAACTTGAGAGTGGAAAAATATGATTTATTTGCAGTACCTGCAGTACTTATTCATCGTTAACCGAATTTCGTTATGCATGTTATTTTCTAAGTTTATATTGATTCATAAGTATTTTAACTGTCCACTTCAGCGATACTCAACCTGCGGCCCGCATGTGGCCCTCCAACGATTTATATGTGGCCCGAACAGAACTCATTGAATTGATAAAAAAATATAAGTTTCAAAACTAATATTATTATAAATATAAAATAAAACAATGGATAAGGATGATTATGTTTTTGGTATTTTTTCTATTTATAACGATTTTGATGTATTTTATCTTATCGCTAAACTGGCCGTAGCTCGAAAAATTGTAAATTTTTTAGCTTAGCTTTTGATTCTAGCACTGATATTGTAGCCACATCACAATGTTCTATTTTTGTTAGATATTGTACTGAACAGAATTCTATTAATGAAGACTTTTTGAAATTCATTCCAATGAAAAATCAAACTAGAGGCGTCGATTATCTTGATGTGATAACTAATTTTCTTGACGACAATGATATTTATATTGAAAAATTGGTTTGAAAATAGGTTTTGAAAATAGGTTGAGTATGGCTGGTCCACTTGCTCAAATGAGTAGGGACCTACTTTTAGAGCTGCCTTGTTCACAAAATGTCTAGAAGTCTAGTCATTAGTAGGTATTTAGTTTTATTTCCGTTGATAACAAAACTCGTTCTGTGACTAGCCTCCATTCGGTTAATATCGGATAATTATTAGACTGTGATCTTAACTACAAAATTTTTATTTTTTGGTATCTCCTAATATAACGATGTCATCCGTGTAAGCAAGCATTACATTGTTGCCATTCTGCTCCATTTCATGACTTAAAGTTAAAATACTCAAAGTAACATACACAAAAACAGAAAGAATAAGCATCACTTCATATTATTATTTTCTATATTTCTTACTTAGAGAAATCGACATTTTAATATTAATAAATAATCATTATGATTGGATTATTAAGTTACTGTTGCAGTATGAAATATATGTAGTTTCATACCATGAATGTATGTATTTATTTTTATTTTTTTTTTCATTTATACCGGTGACATTTGAATAGATGTTGCTGTATGAATACAACTCTAAAAAAAGGTGGGTAAGTGGATGTCGCTCTGCTGTACAGTAGTGGGTCACTGTATAATGGATGCTATTAAATTTGAACTCAATGATATAATATCATTGTATAAGAAAAACGATTCTGAGCGAAGACGGTATGTCAGTCTAGGTTTAAGATAAATTATATACAAATCTATGGTATTAAAAAAAAATTGACCTATAATAAATTCCAAATTAATCATATCACATTATCACAATATCCATTAGGTACTTATAACACATTATACATCAACATCAATAACAAACCCTGATACTATCATCGATATATAATAATATACTTTAGAAGTTTCAAGTAGGTACCCCGTACCCACGAATAATATTATATAATCACAACAAAATAACTAGGTTTTTTAATATGAAATTTCGTCCAAATTTGAACATAAAATGACTATAAAAATAAACTGTGATTGTATATTTTTTAGATTTTTCGGTAAGAGAATTAACTACTTACGTAGAATCTTGTTTTAAATTTTCAATCCTTAGCTATAAAAACTGAACATTTTATAATTTATTAATTACAATGATTAATAATTTTCGAGATTTTGAAAAATTCTGTCAAAATTCGATGTTAAAATGCTTATAAAAAAAAATTGTGCCTATGTATTTTTAATATTTTTCAACTGATATTGTAACAATATATCAGGAGCCTTGTATTAAATTTTTACACTTTTTGGCCCAACAGCTAAACTTAATTGATATTTATAGAAAAAAAAAACTAAAAAAATTGAAAACTGAAAATGTCCGTAAACGGCTCAAAAAGAGTCAAAATATTTTCAAAATTGTATGGTGTATAGGAAATGCTAATATAAACATTCAGTGAAATTTTCATGTATCTACAGTAATTCGTTTTTTAATTACAACAAAAAAAGGAAATTGCCACATGAGAAATCGAGTGAATATCCAATGTTGTAAAAATTTGAATTTCAAACGCTCATAAAAATTTACTTTGACTTTCCGGTAGAGATTTTTTTATTGATAAAGGTAGACAATCTTATGAGTAATCTTGTATTAGATTTTCAAATCTTAGATTTAAAAAGAAAAATTTTTACGAATTCTCAACTCAAAATAATTTGCTAATTTTCGTGATTTTTCCATATTTTGTCAATTTTTGAACTTTAAATGCTTATAAAAAAAAATTGTGACTAAGGATTTTTAATATTTTTCATCTGCCTTTGAAACAATATATTAGGAGCCTTCTATTAAATTTTCAAGCTTTCGCAACCAACAAATAAAATTTTATTGATATTTCTAGAAAAAAAACTAAAAAAAAACGAAAAATGAAAATGTCCCTAAACTGTTCAAAATAAATCAAAATATTTTGAAAATGTTATCGTGTATAGAAGATGCAAATATAAACAACCAGTGAAAATTTCATGTATCTACGGTCATTTGTTTTAAAGTTACACCAAAAACCAGAATCGATTTTTTGGAAAACCGATTTTGCGTAAAAATTCCCGTTTTTCCTTAATTTTTATGTTGTTTTTCCCGGCGCTCTTGAAAACTACTGGGAAATTTAAATTTTGACCTCCCCAATGCACCAACGATATTTACTTTCCAATCGAACAAGATACTGAAGTCGAAAATCGAAGCATTATTTCGACTACTTATCGTGTACACAGACACAAAAAAAATAAATAAAAAAATTAAAAAAAATTAAAAAAAAAACACACATCATTGTAAAATCAATACATTCATCGTTTCACTCAGAATCTAATATTTAAGGATAGCATTAGGATCAAGTTTGATTTAAAGCTCACAAAAAAAATATTATACAAATAAAATTAAATTTGAGTTGATCAATAATATTTTTTGCAATGTGATGATTGATAAATTATTTGTAGCAATAATAGTATAAATATAAAAATGTATGTTCTGTACACTTTATCAAGTGGATTTATTTACAAAAAAAAAAAAAAAAATAACAACAGCAACAGTAATTTATAAAACATTTAAATACTTATATAACTTGCATTAAGGTGGTGGCAATGAATGATATTAAAACAACAACGACTTCAGATCCTCTAATCCCATCCTTTATGCCAGATGAGACATGGTTCGAGTTACAGTTATACAATGGTTATCGTGTATGGCACATTATTTTTTTCATCATGACCGTCTTCTTTACACTAGGTACATTTTACAATTGTATACAAAATTAAAATTATTGAAGCAATAATATATTTTATAGTGGTGTTTATGTGCTGTTGTGTAAGATTTCGAATTCCTAGGACTAAACAAGAGATAGAAGCTGATTTTGTACGTCGTAAGATTGCGACAAAATTTTGCAAACAATTACGACTATTGAGTGACACCGAAATGGACAACATGGACCTGTTGAAAGGTATTAACTATAATTAATGTTATGTATGTATTAACTTTACAATACAATTACATAGCATTAAAACGACTTCAGTCGGAACTTGAAATTCCTAGCAATGAAACAGTAGAGGAGTCTGATGAAGTATTATCATCAACTAAAACTGCCTCGCCAAGTTTAAAAAAGTCTCCAAAATCTTCAGATTTTGGTATGAGTGTTAAATTAGTATTGTTATCTTTTACCTAATTTTATTCAACAAATTTATAGATTCTTCTGTGGAAAAGCTAGACGAAGAACCAGAAAATGTACTGAGCGGTCGTCTAGCAACGTTGGTCAACGTTTTGAATGTCATGAAACCACGTCGTAAACATATAGCTGATGAAATTACACCAAATCTTATAACTGTTTAAATTAAATAATAAAATATCTTAGTTAATAAATAAAAATATTTTTCAAAAATTTAAAATATTATGAATTATGTTACATTGTACACAAAGTTTTAAGTAATGACAATTATAAGTAATAAGTGATAGATCTATGATTTATGTGGATCTAAATTTAAACTGATAGTTATAGACACTGATTTGAATTTTAAATTATCTATTAATATATATGTTTTGTTTTGAAAAAAGTTGTACTGCGAATATCAAAATTCATATTTAAGTGGTGAAACAACATTTTTATAAAACAATCACAAATATATCCATAATTCCAATTAAAACAAAGGTTCAAACACAATTATGTTATGTAAATGTTAAAACATGTATTAAATGCAGAAGACCTGGTTACATTAAATAAATTATTAGATATTATTAATATTCTAAATATTTTATAGGTATTGATAGCTATGATAAAACCCAATTGTGTTATTTTTAAAAAAATAAATACATTGTTTGAACAGAGTTATAAATCATATTTATTTAAGAATTAAGATTAATACATTAAATTGCACTGCTCTATGACTATTTTATTTTTGATTAGTATAATATTTTTCTGATTCAGACATAATCTTCAATGTATAAATCTATATTTACTAACCACAGATATAATATCACATACCTAATCCACAATCACTAATGAGATGTGATTAGTTGAACTTTAATGTTGAGACCACTTGATAGATTTGATGTCAATTCCTTCTTGATGCATTTCCCACAATGGACTAAAAAAGTTATGTGTAAATTATAATAAAGTGTATTTATAAGTTATTAATTCTAATTCAGTACATTTATTTGAAAAACTAACCTCATTTCTCGTAAACGTTTAACATGTTTTATACATTTTTCAGCGGTATATTCAACTTCGTCCACGGTTGTAAAACGACCAAAACCAAATCTATAAGATATTATGTATGAGTTATATTATATTATAAAGAACTAATTTGTATGTTTTTACATATTTTTACTGGGGCTATACAGTATGATTTGTGTGAGGTTTCCCGAAGTTGCAATGTTTGTGTACAATTTTTAGATATTAGTTTATATTTCATTTAATTAAACAATAAAAACTTACATCAAGGTAAAAATATATTTAAATTGTAAGTGAAATATAAGTACCTATATTTTTTTTTTTTTTTTATTTGATAAACCATTTATTAAATAAATTAAAAATACTAGTACAATTAGTATACTAAATAAACATTTTAAAAAACATTTTGGTTTAGCTACCTTCTTTAAGCGTAGCTTGAGTTGAAGGTAGCGAGTTATTACAGAGTTATTTCCTTAGAGATTAAAATATGGCATAAACAATATAGTATTTACAAATATGACAAAAATAAACAATAAAAAACAATAAAAAACAATAAAGAAGAAGTTATAAACAACTAACAAGATACTTGAATTTACAAATTGTTTATAAAAACATTAGTTAAATATTTATTTATATTAATATTATTACTTAATCTAAGATACCTTTTGACATTAATTTCTAGGTAATTGAAATAAGTTGGCCCTAAATAGTCTACAAATTTCTGACCAATACATTTATTAGAATAATTGACATTTAGATTGTATTTTAAAGTTTCACGTTTATTTATATACGGATCGAATTTAGAATGATTTTTTAAAGTAAAAGATATAGAATATTTTTTATATAACAGATTTAGAGGAAGTACACCCAGTTCTTTGTAATTTTCATTAGAAGAACCAAATAAGAACTGATATAAGACTAATATTATAGTGATCATATTGTTTGATAATTTTAGTATTAGTGCGATACATTTTTTCTACCATGCTTATTAATCAAATATATTGAAACAACAATAATTGATAAATAATTCAGAACACTGAAAGAAGAACTGAAATGAAGAACTGCGGACATCCAGAACATATTAACATTAAGTAATTTTTTTTTGTAACATACATTTATTTAATTTCTATTAGACACGTGACAATAATTTTGTTCTTTAACTCAGAAGACTGAATAGAAAATGTACAACATTGGGTTTCCAGAACACATTCAAAAGTTTATTAAATTTGTTATTTTTGTTATTGTTACAACACATAAATAATAATATAACTAATTAACAGTGTTGGGTAGTAACGTAACAAAAGTAACGCGTTACGTAATTTTTTTAGAATTATTTCCAAGTAACGAAAATGTAATGGAAACTACTTTTGAAAAGTAATTTCTATAGAATAACGCGGTTACAGTTTAGAATTATTAAGTACCTACATACCTATTGTGAATTGAAAAAAAAATATAAGTATAATGCGGGTATTATTATGTTTACCAATCTAATATGTATATATATTTAATTTTAACTCAGCACAATTCAGTTTTCAATGGTTTTGACTTTTGAAATGTCTAATTGCACCGTAAATCACGAGAACATTTAATTAAATTTATTATTTAATTTGATTCATTTAAATAGGTTTCCTATGAATATAGCTTGTTTGGAAGACTACATTTTATATTATCCCATTAACTATACAGGTTTTAAAAAGAATTTGCTTGTTCAATTTGCCTGCAGAAGATAATTGTCAAGAAATTTAAAAAAAAATTTTATTTTTGTAACGAGAAAGTAATGAGTTACTTTTCTATTTGAAAAGTAAAGTAATTGCATTACAATGTTATTTGAGTAACGAGTAAAGTAACTTAAAAAAACTTACCCAACACTGCTAATGAATTGATTATTTAAAAAAATTATAATTTATAGATTGAAAAAAACAAACTAAGGAAAAAATTAAAAATGTTTATAATAGAAACTAACCGAAAATATTATATTTTTTTGTAAATACACATAATAGGGAATAATTATCATAATTTTAACTGCATAAGAATATTTTAATTTTACTTTAAAATGGAGTTTCTATTTATATATATAAAATTATATGGTTTAACTGAGTAGACAAATCATACTACCTAATAGAAGAATGTGCCAAGTCTTCATCAGCTCCAATAGCACGTAACACATATGAAGGCTCCAAAGATGCAGATGTACATGCACTACCACTTGACAAAGCAATGTCTTTGAGGGCCATAAGAAGAGATTCTCCCTCAACGAATGCAAACGATAAATTTAAACAACCTGGATAAGTATGAACATCATCACCATTGCGAATAACTTCTGGGAGATCTTTATTAATTTTTTCCAGGAGTAAATTTGAAAGTTTTATCATCCATGCATGATCATACTAAATAAAAAAACATGTTGTAGGTATATGATTATAATATCATGAGTTAAAAGGATGTCACACCCGCATGTGTTGTCGCCGTCTTACAAATGTACAACATAGCAAAACTGTTTTGCGCGGGACTACTTTTCTCTCACCATATTTGTTGTAGAACTACCAAATTTTCACAACAAGTAAAGAAAAACTTTATCTATGCAACAGCATGCTTCTTTTTTTTTATTAGCACTACCCAATCATTTTTTATAAGCAAATAAAAAAAACAAAAAATAAAATATTTAGAAGCAAATAACTTTTATTGTATTTATGTTATCTTAAATATAGGCACGCTGTTGCATAGATAATTTTTTACCCTATGTGGTTCAGAAACTTTAGAGCCACTACTACAAGCACGAAAAGATAAAAATTGTCCCGAGCAAAACAGTTTTTGATATGTTGTACATTTGTAAGACGAAGACAACACATGCGGGTTTGACATCCTCTTAATAAATAACAATTTAAAATTAATTAATTGTATTTTAAATATTTTATTAACCTCCATTTCTTCTTTAGCTATCCTGCACGCTTCACCGAATCCTACAACTATTGGTGTTGGAACCGTTCCACTCCTTAAGCCTCGTTCTTGACCACCTCCACTCTGCAGAGGTTCTAAACGTACTCTTGGCTTACGCCGAACAAACAGTGCTCCGATACCTTTTTATAAAAATACATTTTAATAATATCTATATAACATTAAGACTAGTTTTAACTTTTCAACTTCATACCTTTTGGTCCATATAACTTATGTCCACTTATAGACATAAGATCAATATTTTGATCATTAACATCAACAGTAATCTTACCAACAGCTTGAGCTGCATCAGTATGGAAAAACACCTTTTTTGACTTGCATAATTTTCCTATAAAAATAATTAAATTATAAATTTGTTTTAGCTATATTATTTTTTAAATTGTTTTCACCAATTTCTTTGATTGGCTGTTTTACTCCAATTTCATTATTTACAGCCATGATGGACACAAGTGCAGTATCAGGGCGTATAGCAGATTCTAATTCATCAAGAGAAATTATACCCATTGAAGAAACTGGTAAATATGTTACTTCGAAACCTTCACCTTCCAGAGCACGGCATGAATCTAAAACACATTTATGTTCCTGTTCCACAAATAAAATGTCAATGTATTGATTGATATAAAATAAATAAACAAAATGTGGATATACCAACCGTTTGTGTAGTAATAATATGTCGTTTCTTAGCTCCATAAAAATGAGCAATTCCTTTAATGGCTAAATTATTAGACTCTGTTGCCCCGGATGTGAATATTATTTCTTTGGGATTGGCGCCTATCAAGTTTGATATATGCTAAAAATATTTTCAAAATTATAATCAAAAATCTGCTTTTTAAAATTGTATTAAAAATAAACTACCTGTCTAGCCGTTTCCACAGCTTCTTCGCTTTCCCAACCATACATATGTGTACGAGAATGCGGGTTTCCATAACTATGTGTCATGTAGGGCATCATAGCATCCAAAACTCTAGGATCCTGAAATAATAATAAAAATATCTCACAATTGTAGTTATAATCGAGATGATAAAAACATTTATCCGGTTACAAATTGTAACAGGCATGGGGAGTGTAAGGAATACGTTTTTCTTAATTACTAGGTACTACCCATGCCTGAAATTTATTTTAAAATCAATGGGTACAACTCACCAGAGGGGTTGTGGCTTGTGCGTCTAAATACAATGGTTTACCTTTTAAAAATCCCATTCTTGAGGCAACTTTTGTTTCTAAAAAATGAAATAACAAGACGAGTCTTATTAAGATTATCAGTCCATTATATTATTGACATAACATTTTATAATTTACAGTTTTCGTTAAGATCGAAGGCAAGAAAATAAATACCATCGGCCTGCAATGTTAGGTATTTCAACAGAGAACATTGTATTATTATTTGCATTTTGTCTCACTGAACCAAAATTATTATTCACCGATGTCAGCGATATCTCAAGTTTACACTTACCTTGTTCGGTGGTTTTTTGTGAAAAATATCTGACAAGTTTCGACAAACCGTGAACATTGACGTTTCGGCAAGCCATCGTGTTACAGTGTACTATAATATAATTATTTACTATTGAAATGGAAACCAAACTGAAGACGTTTATGTACCTATTGTGTACTAATTGTGTGAGCGTGAGTAAAAAAATATTGAAAAACGAATGGGGTTGTTACTTGTTATGTTTATTGTTTGTAGTAGTATTTACTATTTAAAAATATTAACTACAGCAGAAGCAATGAAGCCTCAAACTTGCACGGTATGACGTTATCCTTATCACACGGATTGTTATTGTTATCACTATTATCATAGAACAATACTATTATCGTCGAGTACGAACTACTGCGGAAGCCAATAATAAAATGCAGAAGGATATTATTAATATTAAATTAATTTAAATAGCGTGACGAATTGAATAAAATTTCATTTAATTCGTTACGTTAAATAGGTAATGTTATTTATTTATTTATTTGATTAAATTATTAAATTGTGAATATTATGTGATTTGTAATAATTATACTCAAGTCGGATATTATATCTACCTTCGTTATACCCATGACAAAAAACACCATTCATCAAATTAATTAAATTAAATATATTTCGTTTAATATGCCCATAGAAAAGTAGTGAGTATAATACTAATAATATGTTTGATCAATCCACAATGGTTGTAGTCACTACAATGTAGTGGTTCAGTGGTTGTACAAAGTTACACAAATACAAAGATATCAATAACGGGGACGGATTGGAATATAAATTCGGCCCGGGAAATCTGTACGCATACTGGCCTTTTATGAAAAAAAATTATTCACTTCTGGTAAATTTAGTTCTTACTTCTTTGGTTAATGTTTTTGAGTTACTTGTTACTTTATTGATGATCTCATCTGTTTCAATATTGCGAAAAGCAGATCTTTTTCGATGGACATCCACACGAACTCCTCAAGTTACGAGGCAATCGTGGATGATTCAAATTACCACTTCGGCATCACATGTTTTGGTATAAATTTAAACTACTTTACCGGGAGAAATTTTTAGAACATACTTATATTAACGAGTCAAGAACCATGGTGCAATCAGAATTCAGAATTTGTTGCTCAGGCTTGCCGTCAAACTTCTGTTATGTCACCATTTAGCTTATACGTTATATTAGCTTAGGTGTACATTCATCCAACCCTAGACGATGCCTCCTCTACCCTAGGTGGACTATTTCCACCCCCGAAGTGTTGTGTTTCTTGCCCCAAAACCAAAAGGTCTGTAGGACACCACTATAATATGACCTCGAGTTTTGCAACCGGAGACAGCATGCGTAAGAAGTTATTACTTGTCATACTTGATACTTTAACTAGTAAGGTTACATACAATATAAGTACTTCATGCATATAAAAAAAACAGAAAATCGGGAACGTCAGAAAAATATAACTTAAAACCCAATGTTTTCCACTGGTTTATTTTTTGCACCACCATTCTTAACTCGTTAATATACCTATGTGAGTCCTAAAACATAAAAACCGTCCCCCGGCAATGTAGTTTTATACTAAAAAATTTGGTAATTGATAACACGAGTCTTCTCAGTTGTCGCGATTGTCTTGCCTAAAGTTTAGATTCAGATAGTTTGCTCCTTAACCTGTTCTTAATATACTTTGAAGTCGAAAAAAGGTAGGTACACTACAGGAGGTTAGCCAGCCCACTGGTAAAATTCCCGGCATTCTGCCAGCCCAATCCGTACCTGACCAATAGTCAATACAGTAAAGTTAATTTAATTTATCCTGTTTGTTGTGGTAATATAAATTAATCTCACGGACAAATTTGCTTAGGTAACTATAGATTAGTTAATAGTTATACACTCATAATTAATGACCGGACTTATATGTTTTTACATATCGTTACTGGGTCTATGCAGTCTTATGAGAGGATAAAATGTGGACGATTCGTTCAATTCTGAATGCGTAGAAAAAAGTTTTTTGTATATTTGAGAATATTTCATGGGTTAGAGAATATTTAACCCATTTAGTATATTTTAGAATATTTCGTGTTAATTTTAGGAACAAATTTGTATTTATTTTTCATTTTAATATTAAGGTACCCAGAAAAATTTTTTTTGAACATTTACAATTTTTTTTTTAACATTTCCAACTCTTACTAAAATGCAATAGTATTCCATTTGAATACACAACTTTCTTTACCTAATTAATACCTCACTATTAAAATAATGTTGAAAAAAAAAATTCAAAATGCATATTAAAGCAAAAAACTATGTTTATTGATTATTTTTGCATATTTTTGAATATTTTGCATATTTAAGCATATTTTTTAAATTTTTAAGAGAATATAATGAGAATGTTTGAAGGTTTTCCGTTTTTTAGAGAATATTAGCATCATATTTTAGGTATTTTAAGAGAATATAAATCCGGTCTTTACTCATAATTAGGGTTCGGGACTTATTGCACACAAATTATAGGAAATATGCATGCACATATGCACTTAAAATAACCGAAATATGCACAAAAATATGCAATTGAATATTTTTTTTTAAATTAAAAAATTTGATTTATTCATTTAAATTTAGACCTTCTTTTGTAATTAGTCATTTTTTGACTACAATAACACTATCAACATTATATTACTGAAGCGTATGTTCGATTTCATTTTCTTCGTCTTCTCCTACAATAAAAAAAAGGTTGGGTTTTTCTTTAATAATAATTTAATATAAAAACGATGAATTGTTTACCTATAAAGTTTGACTGTACAATTAGACATTAGAAAAGAGATATTGAACAACGCATGAAAATAAAAAAAAAATAAAGTTAACCTTTAAAATAAATGTACTTAACGTAAAACAAAAACTGCGTAAATATGCTGTAAATAACAATTAAACTGCCAAAATTTGTCAAATATGCATTTTGCTCAGAAAACGACAAAATATGCAAAAATATGCAATTAAAATTTTTGTATTTCAATCCGTTATGACTTAAAACAAATTTAAATCTTACTTGGACTATTCTGCAGTCATTATTAAGCAATATGCAAATGCAACAAGTCCCGAACCCTACTCATAATAAATACATATATTTTGGTTAATAATATAAATATATATTATATTTTTTTTTTTTTACTAAGAAAGGTAATATAATAAGTAATATGTAATATATAATAATTATAATATATTGTATAAAGAAAGATACATTGACAGAACACTTTTTGGTGAAGAGGGTTCATTGACACATAAGTCCTTCAAATAAATATTTTTTGGGTTTTTTTTTTATAGTAACATGGATAACATATTGTTATTATACTTTACCAACTGACTTCTGAGTATAAAAAATAAGCTGTAAAGCGATGTAGCACAATAGTTGTTAAATGTATGGATTCCATTTAGTTGTATATTAATCAACATTATCAGTTATATGTAATTGTATGGTTTACATAGGATTCACCAAGATTTTTAAATAATATTATAGTATAAAATATCAAACAAATTTGTAATAAATAAAATATTACAAGTGTGTGGAAAAGTATAAATTGGAATAGCTATAAAAAATGAATGTATATAAATATAAAATTAATAAATAGGAAAAATAGTATAAACATTTTTTAAAGAAAATAATTTATAATTTGTAGTTTCAATAGTGAGCAAATATTATTTGAATAGATAATAAATGATTATTCAAGTCAAAAAAGTATTTCCTATAAAATAAATTAACTGTGCCACAAAAATAAATTACTTATACAACTATTCAATGGAAGTAAGATTATTAACTTGGATATTCCATTGTTTGTTGTTCTCTGGCAGCTGCTTTTTGTAACATAGTTTTTGTTTTGCTCAGCAAATAACATTTTTTTTCCAACTGCATCTTTAAATTGTCGTTTTCTGCGAAAACAGCTTCATACTGTGAACGATAATCTTGTAATTGCTGTTCCAATTGAGTACATTTTTCACTAGCATCCAAATAATAGCTTTGTGTAGCCTGAAGTTCACTTTGTAATTTTTCCACATAACTCTATTCATAACAATAATTAAATAATATTATTAATATTGTTTTTTTTTATCGTTAATATATTTAGATCTAGTGCCTTGGAGAATTACTGAAAACATTCCTATTTCAGAAATGTTCACAACAATTATTTTTCTCAGTGAACTAATGGAATAAAATCAAAATTTTGTTGTGTTATTATATCTGTATAAAGGTTAAATTGTATTGTTTTAATTTTTAAAAATCCTGTTTTCAGGAATTTAAAATATTAACACAGAACTTACGTTCTACGATGTAGAGAAGACATCTTCTCTAGTCCCTAAATCATGCTACATTCATAACAATTAATAATAGGTACCTTATCATCAATGTTAGTAACTACACGTTCAAGCGATAAGTTTTTATTTTCCTCTTTTAGTTTATCTACGGCAGTTCTTAACATTATTACTAAACGTTCTAGTTTTGCTGTTCGCTTATTGTCCGTACTAGGGTAATCTCTCGGGTAATCTGAATCTGAACTTAAACTGGATACACCACTCCTAAAATAAATATATTTTTTAATTAAATTATCTTCATATAGTTTTACATAAAACCATACAAATTATCTGTTAATTGCAAACGATCAACAATTTTTTGTAGTCTAGCATTTTCTTCTTCAAGTGCAGCTTTAGTTTTCAACAATCTACTTTTACTATCCTTTAATGTTTCCACTTCTTTAATCAAAGCATTACTTCCACCCTACAACATGTACATAATCATGTATAATGGTTTATATTTCTTAATTTTTTTTTAAAAATTTCATGTAAATATACTTTTTGTAATAGTTCCAAGGTTGATATTTTTCGACGCAGTTCAACAACAACTTCGGCTAGAGATGTACCACCAGACATCATTTCTTTAGCGGTACGCAAAGTATATAACTCATTTGACAATCTATCTTTTTCTAAAGTCAATTCATCAACGAGACTATTTGCCAATGCACTCGATTGTACTGCAGCTAAACATAAATAGTTTTATTCAAATCATTGGCTTACTTATATTATACAAATTACAGTGTACAATTTATTTACCA